ACTCCAGAAGTATCCTTAACAGGTGAAGAGAAGGAGTTTTTGAAGAGGACTCTTTGAGACCTAGAACAAAGGTAGCTAGAAATCCATCTCAAGAGATTAGGCGGAAACCCTAAAAGGTCAAGTTTTTGTGCTAAAAGGGAATGGTTTACAGAATCGAATGTTTTACTAAAATCAGTGTAAATGACATCCGTCTGCAAGTTACCTTGAAAGCCTTTAATGATAAAAGAGGTAAACTCTAATAAATTTGTGGTTGTTGATCGTCGCCTTATACATCCGTGCTGGGACGGAGATATAAGTGATTTGCAGAGATGTTGCAAATGCGGAGTTAAAGTTTTTTCAAACATTTTAGGAATAGCGGATAACTTAGATATACCTCTATAATTATTTGCATCAGACTTGCTACCTTTCTTATGGAGCGGAATAATAAAAGATTCCTTCCATATGGGGGGGAAGCATGAAGAGTTAATGGATAGGGTGAATAGTTTAAGCAAGGGTCCACACAGAGCGTCGGCACAGTACCTAAGTACACAGCCGGGAACTCCGTCGGGACCTGGTGAAAACACCGGCTTAACTAGTCGAAGAACATGAAGCAGTGAGCTTTCATTTAACAAAGGGCTGAAGATGCCATTCGACCTTGGTAAACTGTATGGCTACGGCTAACCAGAGTAGCTTTCATGAGAATAGGTTGTTTCGAAAAATTTGGCAAAAAGATCTGACATATTGAGAAAAGATATCGAGGATGGATGGACGTTCTACGCTTACTATTTACGAAGCTGTGAAACTGTTTAGGGTCCTGTGAAAATCGTATCCTGCATCGAGATAGGTAGTTTTTATAGCATTGAGCGTTAAGAATGGAGAAATTTGACCGAGCTATTACATAGTGAGAAAGAGAAGAGGGAGAACCAACTTCTCGAAAATTTTTATAAAGTCTTGATTTTAAATTTTTTAGACTGGATAACTCTTTGGTAAACCAAGGAGGCTTTCCAGATCTAACCGGAAAAGAAAGTGGGACACAAGAATCAAAAAATGTGTCAAGTACATTGTAAAAAATGTTTGTGCCTTTCATAACGTCAGTGCACAAGTACAGAGCGGACCAATCAAAATCCCTAATAAGGTTATTAAGCTTCGTAAACTCGGCTTTACGAAAGCAGCGGACACGTTCGGATAGCCTATCCATTCGACCCAATAGAGTAGGGCCAATATACTGTATACTGTATACTACTCAGGTATACTGAGCGGAAGGGCTCAGGTTAACAACGCTCTGGTCGGATCCGAGACAAAGTAAATCTCAAGCAATCGACCCAAGGAAATTTTCACATGGTTGACTTGAGACAGGGATAGGTCTAGCAAGCCGTCGATAAAGTCATGTCGTGACATGGGTACAAGGTTATTAGACTCGTTTACCGAAGACCAAACAGTACCTGGCAAATTGAAATCACCAAGAACTATCATATGGTCTTTATCTGATAGCAAGGAAGAAACAGTTTTTAAAGCGGACAGGTGATGCTCGTATATTAAGATATCCGAGGAAGGTGGAATATACAAGCAAGTAATGAAAATGGAAAAGCCTGGGAGAATCAGTTTTACGCACAGGAATTCCAGGTCTTGTTGAAATGTTCCGACGTGAAGTTTGAGTCCACTGCAATAAGGACGTCACTTCCACGTCGAAACGAACGGTCATTTCTAAAATTATGTACCGACCTGCCAAAACTTCGGAACTAAGGATGTCCGGCTTTAACCAGGTCTCGGTGAACAAAATAACGTGGGACGAGAATGCGAGACTCTCAAGGAAAAGAGTGCTGAGGTTCCTACGCAAGCCTCTAGCATTCTGGTAGGTAACTACAAGAGAGGAAGTTAGTTTTTTGGATGGGTGGAAGTAGAGGTGGAAGATGAGGATGGAGATGGAGCACTGGTCTGAATGCTAGGAAGAGTAATGGGGCCTTAGCCTTAAACTCTTTAACCACCAAATGCTCCGGCCAAAACTTGGCGGAACAAATGGTTTCAAATTGAGTTGGGGAGACGCTTATCGTGAAGGAAGATATCTCCCTGGCGTAAGAAAAGTTAAATTTTTCCACCTTTAAGCCGACGGCTTTTATTTTGCTTTGTATAAAAGCGGTCACATCATTGGATGTGAGGTCAGGGGCTAGCCGCGAGACAAAAACTTGTCGCTTTGGTGGGACTCCCACCAGTGGTTTTGGCACCACAGGCCTAGTACCTGTGATGGCAGTCTCCGGTGGTCCTGGACATCTATTAGCTGGTGAAGGGGGAGCCAAACTGAGGGAATAGTTAAGGGGTTGGGTGCGGACTCGATGGACACGGACTCTACAGACATTTCTAACTGCATACTCTCCGAAGTGACGCATTCGGCTCCCGAATCTGCATCACCAGCAGCGATCTTTGTCCTTGGAGTAGCAAACGTAATCAACTGCTGCACTAAGGGAGTGGTCGGAGTAAGTTTTTCAGATGCCGGCGGACATGAGGCAGTCGGCACTTGCAAGTCCCGCGGAGTAGACTTCTTGCGCCTCGGAGACTCAGCCAGCAGCTGTAAAATGCTGAACTGAGTGTTCATGGCCAAGAGCCATGCTGTTTAAAGCCTACGATCAGCTCTTTGAAGCCACTCCGCGTCTGCCTCACGAACGAACGCATGTCGTTTTCCACAGCACGGCATTCCTCACAACTATAATGTAGGCCGTAGTTTTGGGAAATGGCGTCTCCTACACGGCCCGAGATCCCTACACATTTTGCGTGCACTACGCTTTCGCAAAGCCAGCAGGGGATATTGGGCTGGACATGGGTGATCTGCTTCTTGCAGGTTTTTTTGGCACAGACGACAGAAAATTCCATATTTATGTCTTTTATTTTTGTTTACTTCGGGAAAAAAACTTCAAAACAAATAGCAATCAGACCATTGTGTAGAGCAAATGCTTAGAGCAATGCTTCAAGCGAAATCGGTAAAAGATGACAGAGGAGAGTGGTTGCAGCAACAGCTTATAGGTGAGAGCGTTACTGCACAAAAAGTTACAAGAGCGAAAGCGAAAGAACAGTTATTGAGAGTTAGGTGATAGAGAGAGTGATAGATGGAAATAACTACGACAAAGAGCGGCTAAATGTAATGAGAGGGCGTACTTACGAAAAGCAACAACACAAACACACCGACGCACAAAATGTATACCTTTATACCTTATGTTGATAAGTACCTTATACTTGTATTGACCAGCAGCTGATATATTGTTGTTTGCAGGTTTGACCGAAAAATGCACTTGTTGACGGAGCGTGTAACTTGCACGTCTATGCTTATTGAGTGATGAGTGACCCAATTTATAAAAATAAAAGGCACTCACACATTTACGTAACCTGGAAACGAACCTCGAAACAAACTCAAAACGGTTTCGGAAAAAAAGAATTGATAAAACTCAGCTGCGACACGTTCGATGTATGAACTGGCACATCTATATACTGTATGGTTAGTGCTATAGCCCAGTGGATTCTCTTAGACGATATGAGATCCATTGGGGGATGCTGTTTCTCAGTTACTATGTCCTGATGCGCTGTAGGGTCAGCAACCTCGGTGCATCCTGGGAAATGAGCTTCCATTAGTGCAGTTAGGGCTCAGGGGCCTCAGTCCGTTCAGTTCGCTTCAGCTGACTCTGTATGGTAGGTTGCTTTGATAGCAACGTCCGGAGTCTAGCCATTTCTGGGACTTTTTGATATTGGAGCAGAAGTTCCTCTACGAGTTTCTTTGTGCACTGCGTATTTCTTTCTTGTACTCCCTCAGTAGGATTTTGTATGCCTGTTTGACGATTTTGAAGAATTCTTTGAGGTTGTTTCTTTGGAGCGATAGGTCCCAGTTCGACCAGAATGGTTTGGTCCTCTTTTTCGTTCTCGAGGGTAGGCATGATGCATGGTATGCATCCAGTAGGTCCTTGGATAGGGTTTCTAGGGACATCTTCCTTCTTCTATGTCTTCCGGGGACTCCACTATGCCCGCACGAGTCGCGAGCTTCGAGGTAACTGTCTTTTTAAACTTTTCCCAGTTTGTGTTCCGGGGTTTCTATAGACAGTTATCTTCGGAGAGTGTTTAAATTCGCACTTGTAAGGAAGTTTCGCAGCCAAGGTACAGTCTCTCAGTCTGTCCAGGGCCCGGCCTACAGCAAAAATTTGTATTAAAGACCATTGAGACGGGGTCGGGGAGGCATGTAGACGGGACGAAGTGCCGCCTGGGCAGTGTGTGACGTGGGGCGGTGCTGGCCCAGGGTTATGGGTAGTGGTGGAAAACCGCGTGGTCGATATGGACATCGTGCACGTCCCATGGGAAGCAGACCCCGTGGGAGTGGAACGCCTAGCAGCCCTTGGGTGCGGGGACAGAGCAGGGGAGTACTGTCTCATTCAGCTGGCGTCCCCGGGAGGAAATATGGTAGGCGTGGGGGAAGGGGGAGGGGACGGGAAGGTAGCGGACTACGGCTCCACGCTTGGGTAGCGGGGCGTACTGTGTTTTTTTAACGACCGGTGCGTTCAAGAGTTCAAACTTCTGTCTCGATCCTCTGTTTTGCGCGTTCCCTCGATAGCCCCGAAATCTCGGTTCTCTGCCCATAGCTGCTGGTGCTTCGGCTTTTTACGGAGTGAGCAGCGGTCCGAGCTCGGCTCTGTGGGTGGGTGGGAGTTCCTTCGGTCGCGCTAGCGGCCGGGAGTCTGCGCGTTTCTCCCCTGCTCATCGTTGCGTGCGCCTGCGCTACGGCGTGAGCAGCGGTCCAAGCTCGTTGATGTGGGTGGGCAGGTGGGTTGGCTCTCTTTTCGTTGACGTTGCTGTTGCTCTCTTTTCGTTGTCTTTGCTCTTGCTCTCTGCTCTTTCGCTCTTTCGCTCTTTCGCTCGCGGTGGTGGTTCTGGCGCTGGTTCCGGTGGTGGTTCTGGGGCTGGATCTGGTGCTGGTGCTGGTTGTGGTTCTGTTTCCACTAATGTCTGGTTCTCACCAGAAAAAAGCTAGGCGCTATATTTATGGCTATTTAATGAGGATGACTTAGGACTAAAAGATGTCGTGGTGGCCCATGCCTCTGGAGGTGGCGTAGCTGCCCGTGGTTCGGGAGGTTGCGTGGTGGCCCGTGCCTCTGGTGGTGGCGTAGCTGCCCGTCGTCGATGCCCGACTCCGTCCACGGGTACTCCTCCGTGCTATCCTCGTCACCCCGGCTGGGAAATGGACTAGGGACCTCACTGTCGGTCTCGTCCGTGGTTTCCGACCCTTTCCCGCTGTCGGCCGGAGTTTCGGTTTCGCATAGTCCCTCCTCCTCGCTCTGCTCTTCCTCCTCGCTCTGCTTCTCCTTAGCTGCTCGGGCGGCCTCGATCCAGACCTTCGAGGCCCTGGTGACGCTGGGGGCCGTCGCTGGCTCTGTCCGGGGCGTCGACAGCACCCACTGCCAGCTGAGGGGGCAAGCTTCCCTGAGTCGGGGCTGGTGGCTCCTCCCGGTGGATTGGGGTCGCTGTGCCATGGAGGGTCGGGCCTTCCCAAAGCGTCCGTCCCACAGGACCTCGACCTCGCTATCGGTGCTGATACTGGTTTCGGTACCCTCTTTGGGCGGCAGGTCCTCCGGGCTGTGCCTGGCGGAGGGTGCCAGGAGCCTACGCGTTGTGGTGCCGCTACTGGTGGTGGGGGGGGATTTCAGCCGCTGGTGGGTTTGGGGCTCTGTATTTAGCGTCCCCGTAGTGGGTCGTCGCTGCTGTTCCCGCTGTCGCAGGCGCTTCAGCTCACTACGGAGAACCGCGTTCTCCCGTCTTAGGAGCAGCAGCTCCCCGATAGGTTCTTCGGGTCGTCCTTCCTGGCTGGTTGCCACAGTGGTGTCGCCGGCTATTGCGAGCCGTCGTAGTGCCACGCGGGAGGTGGACGGGCCTTCGTCGAGCTCTGGTAGCTGGTGCAGGGCCACGTGGGATGTGATGCCTCCGGGATCGGCATGCTGGGTGGAGTGTTCCCCCGGTGAAGGCGTGGGGTGGTGCAGCGTCTGGGTGACTCGTCGCTGTTTTGCTACGGAAGAAACCTTGATGGGTTAAAACCTGCCTAGCCATTTTGTGTCTATACCCTGACCTGCCTATAGATGCGATTTACAATTGGTTCTCTGCTTTATGATTAGTCCCTTAACGGGAGTTATACGTATCTTACTGTGGCATGGCCGCGGTCGCTCCTTTCGGAGCGAGGACGTTAGGGCAGCGCACTGTCCTAAGTGGCCCTCATGAACTCGCGTGGGTGGTGGCTCCTTTGCCCGGGTCGTCTTCGTCTGCGATGTTTTCGCGTTGGCGGCTGCTGTCATCGTGGTGGTCGTGGAAAACATTGAGATCCGCCAGCCCGGCGGTTCGTCGTTGCCGTTCAGGGTGTTGTTGCAGCCGCACTATGGCCGGGAAGATAAACTTGATGACCCGATACGGTACCTCAAACTTTGGAGCCAGTTTAGCGGCGAAGTTGTCGGCGAAGATTATAATTTCGACTTTGCTCTTGAGAAGCACGCTGGGTGTTTTCCTGTACCACCCGGAAGATTTCGCTGAGCCTCGACGCCTTGTGTTGTGGGTCCTCGCTGGTCTCGCTTGGCCCTAGCGTGACATCGTCGTACAGTGCTCCGGGTAGGCAGGGCTCCCGTCTATGCATCAGAAAGGCGGGGCTGAAACCCGTCGTGTCTGAGGTGCTGCTATTAACGGCCAGATTTAGTTCGGGCAGAAGCTCATCCCAGGTTCGCTGGTCCTGTTCCACGTATTGTGCTATCATTGTCTTGATTGATCTGTTGGCCCGCTCTGTTGGGTTCTGCTGGGGTGTTTTTTTGTATTCATTTAATGGCTTCCTCAATAGTGCTTATACCTAAGAACAATACAATATGATACGAACAGTTGGGGGACAGATGGGGTAGGGGTCGTGCGACTAGCGGTACTGCCGCAAGGCATTGCTTCGCCCGCGCAGAGACACCTACTTCGTTTGCTCCTTCCGCCTTCTCTCCATGGCCCTGAGCGTTTTCATAACGCTCGCGGCGAACACCGCGGCAGCTTCCCAGATTCTCTGGTCTGCCAGCATCAGCGGCACCAGGTTGTTGACGCATATTGCAGACCCTGCTTCAAGCTCCTGTCGCTCGTATGCGAACCGGTGGCACTCGAAGAGGACGTGCTGAGCGTCCTCCACTATGCCAGAGCCGCACTCCGGGCACCAGTCCTCCGTATCGTGCCCAAAGCGCTTGAGGTAGCTGCGGAAGCAGCCATGCCCGCTCAGCGCCTGGATTAGGTAGTGGTCTACCTGCCCGTGCTTCCTTCCGACCCAGGACGAGATGTGTGGGATGAGGGAGTGCGTCCAGCGCCCTTTTTGGGAGCTGTCCCACCTCCTCTGCCATTTCTCCATGCTGCTCCTTCTAGCGGCAGCCTTCAGCTCTGCCTTGCTGATTCCTGCTTCGTCGTCCTGCAGGGCGTCGTAAATTTCCCTGCGCTCCCGGATCAGCTCCCCTAGAGGAATATGCCCGGCGATGACCAGCGCTGTCTCGTCCGAGATGGTCCGAAACGCGCATGCGATCCTGATGGCGCATAGCCGATACGTGGCCTCCAGCCCCCGCATATAGCTTTTCACCGTTGCGGCCTTCGCCCACACCGGCGCGGCGTAGAGCATTTGCGCCATTACAACGCTCGTCAGCAGCTTCCTCGTTGCCTGTTTTGGGCCTCTGGTGTTGAGCAGCAACCTCGAGAGCGATCCTACGGTTCCGCTGGCCTTCTTGTTGATGTACTCCAGGTGCTCCTTGAAGGATAGCCTCGTGTCTATGTGGACACCCAGGTATTTAATCGACCTTTGGGAGGTGATCGTGGTCCCTCCGACTTGCACGATGGCAGTCTCCACCGCTTTCCGGCTCGATATGAGCACAGCCTCCGTCTTGTGGGCCGCCAGCTCGAGGCCTGCTACCGCTAGCCACGATTCCACGGCTTGGATAGCCTCGTTGGCGAGGTTTTCCACGGCGGCAAGGTCCTTTGCGACCACCACTATCGCGACATCGTCCGCGAAGCCTACCAAGCTTGTGCTGGCTGGCATCGGCAACCTCAAAACTCCATCGTACATGGCGTTCCAGAGCAGGGGTCCCAAATCGGAGCCCTGCGGGACTCCGGCTGAGACTTCGTATGCTCTGGAACCCAGACTCGTGTCCATCGTGAGTACCCTGGCGCTGAAATAGCTGTAAGCTATATTCAGCAGGTACCCCGGGATGTTGAAGCTTCTGAGGGCCTCCAGCGTTCGGCCCCAATCGGCAGAGTTGAAGGCGTTCCTTACATCCAGCGTCACCACCAGACAGTAGGACTTGCTTCCACCTCTCCACCTGGTTCCCGCGCATGCCTCCTTTGCCGTTTCTACCACTCTTGAGATGGCGTCCAGCGTTGACTTCCCCTTCCTGAAGCCGTATTGGCCCGGGGAGAGACCGCCAGCCGCTTCGATGGCTGCACTCAGCCTCGTTGTAACCACCTTCTCGAAGACCTTCCCGATGGTGTCCAGCAGACAGATGGGCCTGTAGGAGGAGGCCTCTCCTGGTGGCTTTCCCGGCTTAGCCAGAAGTAGCAGCCGCTGCCTCTTCCACCTCTCGGGGAACGTGCCCTCCTGTAGGCACTGGTTAAACAGGCCAGCAACCTCCGTCGGGAGCAGCGCTAGCGCCAGCTTTAGCGTCCTGTTGGGGATCGCATCTGGGCCCGGTGCCTTCTTGGGCTTTAGGCGTCTGCCCGCACGCCGTACCTCGTCTTCCGTGACCTCGGATATCTCGCCTCGTCTTAACTCTGACCGTGGAGAGCTCACGACCCGTTGCCCTCGTGGGAACAGGGCGCTAACTATCCCCTCCAGCTCCTCGGGATCAGTTGGGGCTTTGCCTCCCGCGTTGATCCTCTTTACCACCATCTGGTACGCACGTCCCCAGGGATCTTCTTCAACTGCATCGCACAGCTTGAGGAAGCATTCCCTCTTGCTGCTCCTGATGGCTGTCTTCAGCTCCTTTTTTGCCGCCTTGTAGCGCTCGCTGCAGCTGTCCAGGCGCGAAGTGCCCCTAGCCCGTTGCAGAAGCCTTCTGGCGCGGAGGCATGTTCTGCGGAGTTCAGCGATCTCCTCGCTCCACCAGAACACCGGCACTTGGTGCGACCGGAATGTCCGCCTCGGGAGCATGCTTTGGTCGCATGCGCCCTCCAATGCGGAGGCCAGTTTGTTGGCCCTCTCATTGGCTCCATCCGCTTCTGTAGCCGAGAAGCTCCCCAGTGCGTCTGCGAAGATCTGCGGCCTCAGCGTGTCCTGCCGGTATGCCTTCCTTTGGGGGGGAGGTTCTGCCCCTCGCCCAGGCACGCCCACCGAGCACTGGATTGCCTCGTGGTCGCTGGCGGTGTAGACCTCGCTGACCTTCCATCGAGCGTGGCGTGCCAGCGCGCTGCTGGCGTATGTGATGTCAATGACTGACCCCGTGCCTGCCCTGCTGAAGGTTTGCCGGGACCCTTCGTTTAGCAGGACGATGTCCAGCGTGGCGAAAGCTTCTAGCACCGTGCGACCTCTGGCATTGGTACGGGAGGACCCCCATTCCTGGGCCCAGGCATTGAAGTCGCCCCCGACCACGACGTTGCTCCGTCCTCTCAGGTCGCTGCACAGATCGTCCAGGATCCTGCTGAAGCTCTCCAGCCAGAGACTGGGCGCCAGGTAGCAGCTGTACAGCCACGTACCTCCAACGTTCGCCCGGACGAATCCTTCTGCTGACTTGGCGTCGCGCATCTGTGGAGCATTCACTCCGCAGAGCCACAGGGAAGTTTTGCCAGTGCTGTCCGTGGCCCACACGCTGCTGCTCCCCACCTTGTAGGGTTCGCTGAGGATTGCCACCTCCGAGCCCAGCTCACGCACCGTCTGCGCCAGGAGATCCTGCGCCGCCTTGCAGTGATTCAAATTTAGTTGGATCAACTGCATGAGGATCTGGCGTTCTTGACCCCGCTGCTTGCGGCTGGGCAGCTCCTACTGCCTGCCTGATGCCTTGTCTCCTTCATCCCAGCTGCTGAGCAGATAAAGCACGATGGCTCCTTGCTGCACTCGGCTGCCTTGTGCCCCTGTCCACCGCATTTGATGCAGCAGCCGCTCCTGTCCACCGAGCTCTTGCAATTACTTGCAATATGCCCGGGTTCCAGGCACCTGTAGCATCTTGGGAGACCCTCTCTTTCTCGGATCCTGCAGACGGTCCAGCCGATCCGCACCTGTCCCCGCTGCATTACTGCTTTGCCCAGGGAAAAAGGCAGGCTGACCACCGCCGTTTGGGACTCCGCGTAGCCACGTCGCAGGCTTCGCACCCTGACTCGTCCCTCCTCAATCCCGAACTGGCTCGCGATGGCGGTACAGATCTCACGCTCTGTCGCGAGGGAGTCGAGATCGCGGATCTCCAAGACGACCACCTTCGAGTCCTCTGTCAGTGCACGCACTGCCGCTGCGTCGCCAAGTACGCGTGCGATGCTTTCTCTCATGGAAACGCAGCTTCCCAGGTCCGACAGCTGGTTATCCTCCCTCCTGGTAACAGTTGCGTCTGTTTGTAGTACAAACCGTTCAGTGAAATCGGCACACGCCAAAACTGGCGCCTAGGTCAACTTTTCTTTGAGGCTGTCAAATGCCTGTTGCTGCTCTTCCATCCAATCCCATTTCTGGGCCTTCTTCAACAGCTTGGTCATTGGCTGGACCACCGTGGCGAAGTTTGGGACGAACCTTCGGTACCAGGAGGCCATTCCAATTGTGAGGTCCTATTTCAGGCTGAGGTATGCATCAGTCTGTCCAGGGTCCGCTACAAGAACTTCAGGTGTCGGGCTGGCTGGCTGGAAAAATGCAGTAGGCAAGCGAGAAATGATGATGCGAGAGTTTTTGTTTGTTGGTTTCTTGGTTTTATTCAGTATTCTTTTTCATTCACTTAGTTCTTTTACGTTGTTACTCTGGCTTGTAGTTGTATGGTGCGCTGGTGGATTGCTTAGTCAGTGTCTTGTGCTCGGGCTGATGGACTGCCTGTGACTTGTATTCGGGCTGATGGACTGCCTCGTACATTATCTTGTGTTTAGGCTGATGGACTGCCTATTCTTTCGGCCGATCTTGGCACTTTTATGCAGCTGGCGATCGCACCTGAGACCCGGAAATAATTAGTTCTTGCTGACTTAAGGTTATTTAATAACAATAATTGTGGGGTGTGGTAACTAGGTCGAAGCTTGGTGCTTCGTTGACAATTTCTAGTACGTCGGGGTGGTTTTGCTGATGCTGCATCCCGGAAGGTGCAGTTGGGAATTGGGTATTTGGTTTCAAAATGAGTTTTAGCTAACTCTGCATCGCGGAAGTTGATTGGTAAGTTTATGACCTGAGGCCGAATGGTTGCGAAAGATCGCCAGGAGGTGAGTGACCGAACATTTTGTGCTATCTTCGCTGATTGCGAAATAATGCAGAATGGATATTTGGTTTCAAAAATGAGTTTTTGCTAACTCTGCATTGCGGAAGTTGAGTGGTAAGTCGATAATTTTATGCTGGCATGACTTATTGTGAAATAACGCAAATGATATTTCTTATGTAGGCCGTCGATTGCGAAATGTCCCAAGAGGTGGGGTGTTTTAAATTGTTGCGTGTACAAGAATGTATAGAGTTGTTGATCAAGAGTTCTTAATTAATTGTGTGCGTTGCTTAAGACTATTTTATTTCCGGAGTTTCTGACACACCGCTATTTGTGGAGAACCGTGGCTAGAGCCATGGTTCGTTAGCTCTGTGGATATCACTTTGATTATTGTCTCAGGCCAGCGTGGATACGCTGACTCTCCGCCGTTTGTGACGAGACATGGCTAGAACCATGGTTCGTTACCCCCCCCCCTTTCTTCAGGGTGAGTGATGGAGAGATTTGTGGCGTCGCTTGGCGGGTGGTAAGGTTCGCCTTTTTTTCTGGTTTTCCTGTCCTGCCGAGTCTCCGGATTCGTCGCTGTTAATCTCGTCACTTTATCGTGGCGTCGGTAACGTTATATTTTCTACTGCTGCTGTGATCGTGGCCTTTCTGCTGTTCTGGCTGCTTTGTAGTTGGTGTAGTTGGTGCTTGGTGGGTCGATTATCCCATATGACGATGGTTTTCTCGGCAGTTTTCTTTGGTAGTTATTTGTCCAGGCATTCTCGAATCTGCGGATCTGCGGATCCGTCAGTAGTTCTGGGTCGTCTTCAGTGGGTTCGGTGACTCCGGGGTCAAAGGTTTGATTCGGGTCTTTCGGAAGGATGGGTTTGTCGAGTGTGCTGGACGGTTGGATCCTCCGTTGGTAGTCGCTTATGTGGGCGACGATCGGTGTGGCGTTGGCCGTGGGTAGATATGGTTCATATCTCTCATGCAATACTTGGGTGGTATTGGCGGTCGTTTGGCGCATGAACAGGTGAGTCTCGGTGATGCCTCTTGTTTTGGACCAACAGCTGGTACGGGCGACGAAGATGTCGGACCTGACACTAGGCATGGCTCGGTGCATGGCGCTAAGAATCATGTCGGGACGCGGAAGGTACTGCAGTGTATTGGCGAGGATCGGGGTGGCGGCGGCCGTGGGTACGACAGGGCGGCGGTCGGTGCATCTTGGGGGTATCGTCCTGGTTTCCGGGCCCGCGTTGAGGGGCTCTGTGGATGTCAGTTCAATTACGGGCCCCGTCCAGCGTGGAGTTAGCGTGGCTGTTTCCCGTGTGGCTGGGCGGTCGGATGGTGGTGGCCGTTGTCCTTTTTCGCTGCTGGCGATCCGGTTTTGAGGGTGTCCGTGCGTTCCCTGCTTCCGATGCGGTTTCTCTGCGTGCTTGCTCTGTTGCTTGTCTTGGACCTGGTCTTCCTGTGTCGAGCGCCGGGTTCAAGTGTGTTTGTCTCGTGTGTGAGATCCTCGTGGTTTGTTTGGGATGCGTGTTCCCTGTTGTTGGCCTAGGACGCGCTTGCTCCGTAGTGACCGTGGGGCTCGTTTTCCCGATTGCTTGGTTGCGGTTTGCTGGTGTTGACCTTGGATTCGTGTTCTCCGTAGTGTGCCGTGAGCGTTGTGGTAGGTCATGGAGGTAGGTTCGTTGCGATTTGTTGGGGTTTCTGGCATCGGGGTTCGGCGTCTTGTACGTGGATGGTAGTTAGCACGGGTTCAGTGGGCATGGGGCGACGGTTTCGAAGCTGTAGCAGCGTGGTGCCGCATTGGATCGTCATTTCGGTGGCACCTAGGAAGTCCATGCCGACAATAACTTGTCCCAACATGTTTGGCAGGACCAGGAGCGGGATTTGAACCTCTCGTTGATCCAGCTTGATGTGCGCCAGTAGAACTTGTGAGATCTCTCTGACCGAGCCATCGGCCAGGCGTATGCGGACGCATGCATCTTGCAGGTTGGTGTTGTTGTCTAGTTGTCGGGCGAGGTTTGCGCTGATGAAGTTTCTGGATGCCCCGGTGTCGATTGTGGCTTCCGTTGCGTATCCTCCTATGCTTACCATCGCCACTATCCGGCCGTTGCTAACGTGTAGAGAGTTATTTAGTCGCGGGTTGGGGGAGGCGTCATTCCCGGCTGATCCCGTGCCATTTGGGGACGCATGTCGTTTCCCGACGTGTTCTCGGTGGCCAACATTGTGAGCTGTGCTAAGCTTTGTAGTTCGTGTCGCCGCACGTACATCTGGTATGCTGGCAGGGCGTTATCGTAGATCCTGTTCAGTTCCTTGGCTGCGACGTACCTGGCGTGGTGCATGAGTGAGACGTATCTCGATGAGGTAATCCTTGAACAATTCTCCTACCGCTTGCTTGCGGGCTCGGATCTGGTCTTCCAATTGTTCAAAATACCGTGGCGGCAAGAAGAAAGTCAAGAATTCTTGGCGGAAATATGCCCATGAGCTGCCTTGTAGTTGGCTGGTGCGGTACCAGCGACTGGCCCGATCGGTGAGAAGCTCTGTCATGGCCCGAGGTAGCTGATTTGTGTCCACCCCATATGAGAGCGCACGTTTTTCGAGTAGTTCCAGAAATGTAAGTGGGTCGTCCTGTCCGTCGAACCTGATTCCCCATTTCCGAATCGGTTCCGCGATGTGGGCGGTGTGGCTGTGGTGTCGTCCATCTATGGAAGGGTCCATGGCTGGCACTATCCTCTGTGTGGGCGAGCGGCTGGTCTCCGTAACTGGAGGTCTGGGCAAATCGGCTGGCGTTACGATGCGTGGTGGGCCGGGTGTGCTGTATTCCGACGCTGTGGGGACTTGTAACCCGGCTTTTGGGTCCGTTTTCCGCTGGTCAGATGGCCCAGGAGTGGTGGGCATGGGCGACTTGGAGCGTCCTGCTGGTTTGGCGTATTGCCGTTCGAGGTCTCCCAGTCGTACCCAGGCATCCTGCGAGAGTGTTCCGGCGACTAGTGCGGCGAATCTCTTTCGTCGTTCCTCGACTGTTCCTTCGTTGCCGAATCCGAATTCCTCGGCCAGGGCTTCTAGCTCGTCTCGCCGGAGTTTGTAAATGCAGCCGGTGGTGACTCCTGGATTGGTATGGTGTCCCTTCGGGTAAAATTCGTCGGGTTGGGCGGCTTCGTGGGCTTCCATGGTGTGTTCCTGCGGTTAGTATCACTGACTTACGTTGTGTTGTTGGTACTTTTGTACTGTAGCACTTTTGCTTGCGACCGGATTTTGCGGTTTTTTGTGCTTGACGGTTATTGATCCTTGCTAGCATATTCTCTTTCAGTGGCCGTGGGTCTTTACTCCACAAAGGTCCGTATTAAGGTGTTAGTCTCCTTAAAGTCACCAAAAAGTCCCTGCTCGGGCGCCACTTGTGAGGTCCTATTTCAGGCTGAGGTATGCATCAGTCTGGCAGCTGGCGATCGCACCTGAGACCCGGAAATAATTAATTCTTGCTGACTTAAGGTTATTGGATAACAATAATTGTGGGGTGTGGTAACTAGGTCGAACTTGGTGCTTCGTTGACAATTTTTAGTGGGTCAGGGTGGTTTTGCTGAGGCTGCATCCCGGAAGTTGCAGTTGGGAATTGGGTTTAGGATTGATTTTGCTAACTCGGCATCGCGGAAGGTGATAGCTGAATTTGGGCCGGTAGGTCGATAATTTTATGCTGGCTTGACTTATTGTGAAATAACGCAAATGATATTTCTTATGTAGGCCGTCGATTGCGAAATGTCCCAAGAGGTGGGGTGTTTTTAATTGTTTCGTGTACAAGAATGTATAGAGTTGTTGATCAAGAGTTCTTAATTAATTGTGTGCGTTGCTTAAGACTATTTTATTTCCGGAGGTGCTGACACACCGCTATTTGTGGAGAACCATAGCTAGAGCCATGGTTCGTTGGCTCTGTGTACATCAGTTTGATTATTGTCTCCGGCCAGCGTGGATGCGCTGACCCTCCGCCATTTGTGACGAGACATGGCTAGAACCATGGTTCGTTACAACCTGCGCGGCTTTACATGCTTTGCGGAGTGGCAGCACTTTTGCCACTCTGTTATCTATATTGTCCTTTCCTGGGGCCTTTTTAGCTTTGAGAAAGTGGATATCCGTCTTGAGTTCCTGGAGCGTCATTGGGGCCACCGGGAGCTCCATTTGATGGAATTCAGCCATCTTAGCAGCCATTAGGCTTGCTCATCCACACGGTCCGCTGCTGACCTTGCTCATGAGCCATCTGCCTTTCTTACTGGGAAGTTAGGGGTGGATTGCCGTTTGTACCGGATCGTGAGCTTCGATAGGGTGTAGTTCGAGTGCACGTCTGCAGACGCCTCAGATATTAGTTTGTCGTTGGCTTCAGACTTTAACTTGAACAGCTTTTTCCTCAGCCCGTTGGCTACTCTCCTGAAGAGTCTATTGACAGTCATTGGTGCGGAGGAATTCTTTCCTAAGCCTTTTTTTGGAGCAGTTGTCCTTCTACTTTACTCGATGTCACGCTATTGTATCTTCCAGTACGGGACGATTGAGTGACTTGGTGACCTTGAGGAGCAGCAGCTGCAGCACCCTCGCAGACCTTGGACACAAATAAGTCAATGGCCTCTTCCACTTCCTCGGTGGTCCTCAGCTCCGAGTTTAGGTCCAGGGAGCCTTCCATAATTTCTCTGAACAGGGCTGTGTTTGGAATCATTTGAACAAAAGTATATTTCATTAAACTCCAATAAACACTATTAAATATATTTAATTTTATTATATGTGTTCATTCTCTACACTCGCTTTACTGAAATATGCTGAATTGAAAGGATCTCAACGCATTCAACCATATGGAATGCTGATATGCTGAACCCTGCAGTGACGGAAGGGAATAACGTAAACAAAATCCTCAAAGCCTTGGTGGCACTAATGAGGAAAGGAATGATATGCGAGGCCGATCACTAGATAGCTGTACACTTTTTGATTTCTTTTAACAAATCATAAAAGTATTCTGTGTGTATTACGACTTTTTAGCGGACTTTGGATTTGTGATAAATAAAGGATAAACATATAGCGTGTTTTTAAAAGCCGAAATATCCACTATGTTTGTTGGATCATCGCCATGTCCCATAAGCTCTATTTTGATCTTACTGCCCATCTGTTCAAACAAGAGTTGTTCATCGGAAATGTTACGCTGCACTTCATCCAATAGGTCGGCCAAAGAACCAGGTCGTCTACCGAATCCTGTTCCTGAGCTCTGCCTAAGAGCCATAGCATCCGAAATAGACAGTGTTGGAGACCGAGATGGTAGCTTATTTTGACCAACCACTTGGACTGAAAGCTTTCGAAAGTTCTTGTTTTCATAGTCTAATAAGAAATCCAAAACGTGCTGCTTTGAGATACCATTTAGCGTTTGTATTTCCATTTCCTTGCGATTAAAGAAGTACTCAGTGGTTACGATTTCACTCCAATTCCGCATAACTTCTTCATCTAGGCTAGTGTCACCCAGCCTCTTGCTACTGATGAGCGTTTCGCGCACATCATTGAACTCTATTTCAGTGAGCTGTGACACAAGGTCTGGTATGCAAGACCTAAATGCCTCCATACGTCGTTCAACATAGTCAGCCGAATGCTTAGTCTCCTGAGTATTTATTGTAATTACATAGGCCAGCACGCCGTAGCCAATGCGTTGATGTATGCCCAGACTGTATCCCAACTGTTCTTGAGTACGCAGCTGATTAAAGAAAGGTTCTTCCACAATTAATTCTACCAGATCCATCAGGCACTCCAATTTTAGATCACTTGGCCCAATTTGATAGTAGTTTGTTACAATTGTATTTGTATCTTCCTGATTTAAAGTTTTCGCACGCAAATAATACGATCCAAGTGGAAGCTGCACTAAGCTATTGTCCAATGAGGATGGATTATCTAATTTTTGGCTACTAAACGTGGAAATTACTTTTTGCATTACCTCACGTGCCTCTTCTTGGGTAAAATTTCCCTGTATGAGTGCCTGGATGTACATTTTCTTGTGAAAATTATCCTTAAAGTGCTTGATGTCATCCACATTTATTTTATCGATTGATTCATATTTCTGTAGCATACTAAATCGTTTATTCTCCAAAACCATTAATCGTAAATCAAGATTTAAAATCTTTCCACTAATAAGAGCATTGAAAATTTGACGCTTTTTGAGATCTTTAAAAGAAATCACTTGAGCTGGATCCAGCTCTAGAGTGCACATCACCTTCATGATAATTTCTACCAAAAGAGGTAGTTTTTGGTTGTAACCACTAACACGTAGAACCAATCCCTTGTCACCTATATATAGGCCATAAGTTAAACCAGCTTCTAAAGCTGGATATAATTGCTCGGCGATGCTAAATTCCACCAAGTAGGTAAAGAGCACGCCAAGCATATAATTCCGTGCACTTTCACGAACCAAAGGAGTAATAAAGTATAAATTTATGTAGCCATCAGGTAGTTGGAAAATATCATCTTGCCGAAACCACAACTCACAAAGATCATCCCTTTTGAGGATTTTTGGACGACGTGGTATATGTAGCCTACCAGCTTCTTGCCAGTGCAACGTGAAGTCCGTGGTTATGAAGGGATTCGATTGTGGAAAGCTCAATTCTTTCAATAATGGCGGATCATGCCACATGGCTATCCATTTTGAGGGCATAGGAATCGTCGTGTACTGCGTACCAAACCATTTTTCCCTCTGATCGTATTCATGATCTAAATATGGTATGTGCGAAGAGATCATTATATTAAAATTAAATGCACTCAGGTGTTCTTTCAGTAGCAGTAAAGCAGCTTTATCAAATTCAAAATACAGCTGTGATCCTGTAAGGACATCTTTTGGTGGAAGATACCCAATGCTCTCCACCACATTCTGTACATTGTCCATCGAAGGTAGTTCGATTTGAAATCGAAAATTATTTTCTGCAATCTGTTGAAACTCCTTATACATATCTTCTCGATGCTCAGCGCTCTCATTTAGCAATTTAATCCATGCAAATGTAGCTTCCAATACCGCATCTATATGCTCGAACCCATCGTCTGTAAGGTATATGCACATATTGAACAGAGAGTAGATGGAGTTTGATTCGAAACTACTACCCCCAATGCCCGCCATAATGCTCATGCACCATAGACGGCGACGTAAATAAGAGCATAGGCTTCCCACACCCTCATATCCGATCAGTTGCGATAGAAAAGCCTCTGGCTTACATCTATAATAATGCCTCATTGGTGGAAGAACCCAGGTCAACTCCAATTTGCACACGTCTTCCACAGGCTGCACAAGAAAGACTTCGTGAAATAACTTTTCATTAAAGGCTTTATGATAACACAAACTATCCATATCTTTTGCATTCTCCTGGCTTTTGGGTATATCTGCACAATGACGAACTAGTAGGTCTTCCAATTCATCCAACGATTGCTGCGACTGAATGCAGACAATCATACGATTTGATCCATAATGTTTTCGTCGAAAATCATGAAGCGCATCGTGCAGCAGTTTGTCATCTACATGATCTTCAAGAGATTTCCGATTCCCCCAACTGAAAGTGCCATGGGGATAATTTTCACTAGCCAAGCTCGCCAATATCTGATCACGTCGTACTTCATCCCGCATGTATGTCTGTTCGAACTCTGATTGAACTGCAGAACGTTCTCGAGCCATGGCATCGGGAAGAAAAAGCGGTGCTCTTATTAGGTTCATGAATATATCCATACCTCTATCTAAATGGGTATCTTCTACCTCAAAGTAAAAACACGTTTCTTCGTTTTCTGTATGAGCGTTACTGAAACCCCCGTTTTTCGTTATAAATGCATCAAATTCGTTTTCAATGGGATACTTCTCGGAACCCATAAATATCATATGCTCCAGAAAATGTGCCATTCCCTGATATTGCCGCGGTTCACTAAAGGAGCCGACGTTCACAAGTACCGCGCAGGCAGCTAATTTTCCATGAAAATTCTCTATGGATGGATTGGAGCTCTCACTACTCCTGGCCCCATCTGTAGGTGGATGGTGGCGCACATCTGAGGTGTGTTCTATATTATATGTAGGATCTGATATCAGCATGGCACGTAATCCATTCGATAGACTTAGAGCTCGGTAGAGTTTTCTGTCGCCATCAGATTTATCCGGTGGCTCATGATACTGGACAGAGGTTTGAAATGTTCGATATAGCCACTTGTACATTTTTTTTCTGATTCTTCTGAGGCCGATGCGCGGCTCTAGGCACATCTTCAATGTCATGTAGTAGGTAACTGTATATTGTGTTCTTATTATTTATAAAATGTAAGTAAATTCGGTTCAAACAAAACCGAACAAATTTTGTAAAGGCTCCTACAATTTCATGGGAAATGACACAGGATATCTATATATATAAAACAAACTCGTGTCCGTTAGACCGCTTGTAACTCGAGAACGCCTAGACTGATTTTCATGGTTTTTGAATTTTTATACCCGTACTCAAAAAAGAGTTAAGGGGTATATTAGATTTGTGGTAAAAGGGGATGTGTGTAACGAAGACAAGAAAACGTTTCCGACTGCATAAAGTATATATATTCTTGATCAGCATCAATAGCCGAGTCGATATAGCCATATCCACCTGTCCGCCTGTCCGTCTGTCCGTCTTGATGAGCGCCTAGATCTCAGAAACTATTGTAACGAACCATGGTTCTAGCCATGGCTCGTCACAAACGGCGGAGGGTCAGCGCATCCACGCTGGCGGGAGACAATAATCTAACTGATATACACAGAGCTAACGAACAATGGCTCTAGCCACGGTTCTCCATAAATAGCGGTGTGTCAGCACCTCCGGGAAATAAAATAGTCTTAAGCAACGCACACAATTATTTAAGAACTCTCGATCAACAACTCTACACATTCTTGTCCACACAACAATTTAAAACACCCCACCTATTGGGACATTTCGCAATCGACGGCCTACATAAGAAATATCATTTGCGTTATTTCACAATAAGTCAAGCTAGCATAAAATTATCGACCTACCTGCCCAAATTCAGCAAGCACCCTCCGCCAGGCCGAGTTCGCAAATCCTCATTTCGAAACCCAATCCCCAACTGCGGCCTCAGCTAAAAACACTCTCATCAAAACACACTGACGCACTAAGCAATTGTCAACGAAGCACCAAGCTTCGACCCACTTACCACGCCCCACAATTATTTTCAGCTGCATAAAAGGGCCAAGATCGGCCGAAAGAGTAGGCAGTCCATCAGCCCAAACACAAGACACTGCACAAGGCAGTCCCTCAGTCACACACCCAAGACACTGCACTACGCAGTCCCTCAGTCACACACCCAAGACACTGCACTACGCAGTCCACCAGGGCACCATACAACTACAAGCCTGGGTAGCAACGTCAAAGAATTTAGTGAATGGAAAAATATTGAATAAAACCAAGAACCAACAAAACAAAATACTCGCATCATCATTTCTCGCTTGCCTACTGAATTTTGAAAGCCAGCCCGACACCTGAAGTCACCCACAATCTACAAATTTTCTTGTAGCGGACCCTGGACAGACTGATGCATACCTCAGCCTGAAATTGGACCTCACAAGTGGCGCCCGAGCAGGGACTTTTTGGTGACTTTAAGGAGACTAACACCTCAATACGGAGCTTTGTGGAGTAAAGACCCACGGCCACTGAAAGAAAACTAGGCTAGCAAGGACTAAAACCCGTCCAGCACAAAAACCGGCACCCTCGCAAAATCCGGTCGCAAGCAAAAGTGCAACAGTACAGAAGTACCACCAACACAACGTAAGTCAGTGCCACTAAACCGCAGAAACACACCATGGAAGCCCACGAAGCCGGTTAACCCGACGAATTTTAACCGGAGTGACACCATAGGAGTCACCACCGGCTGGATCTACAAACTCCGGCGGGACGAGCTGGAAGCCTTGGCCGAGGAATTCGGATTTGGCAACGAAGGAACAGTCGAAGAACGACGAAAGAGATTCGCCACACTAGTCGCCGGAACACTCTCGCAGGATGCCTGGGTTCGACTGGGAGACCTCGAACGGCAATACGCCAAACCAGCAGTACGCTCCAGGTCACCAATGCCCACCACTCCTAGGACATCTGACCAGCGGAAAACCGACCCAAAAGCCGGGTTACAAGTCCCCACCGCGTCGGAATACAGCACACCTGTCCCACCACGCATCGTAACGCCAGCCGATTTGCCCAGACCTCCAGTTACGGAGACCAGTCGCTCGCCAACACAGAGGATCGTGCCAGCCATGGACCCTTCCATAGATGGACGACACCGCAGCCACACCGCCCACATCGCGGAACAGATTCGGAAATGGGGAATCAGGTTCGACGGACAGGACGAACCACTTACATTTCTGGAACTACTCGAAAAACGTGCGCTCTCATATGGGGGGGACACAAATCAGCTATCTCGGGCCATGACAGAGCTTCTTACCGATCGGGCCAGTCGCTGGTACCGCACCAGCCAACTACAAGGCAGCTCATGGGCATATTTCCGCTAAGAATTCTTGACTTTCTTCTTGCCGCCACGGTATTTTGAACAATTGGAAGACCAGATCCGAGCCCGCAAGCAAGCGGTAGGAGAATTGTTCAAGGATTACCTCATCGAGATACGTCTACTCATGCACCACGCCAGGTACGACGCAGCCAAGGAGCTGAACAGGATCTACGATAACTGCCAGCATACCAGATGTACGTGCGGCGACACGAACTACAGAGCTTAGCACAGCTCACAATGTTGGCCACCGAGTTCGAGAGCATCCAAGAGCGGACCATCCCGACCACTTTCTCACCCCCGCGTTACACTCCAAGATACGCAAGACCGGCTTCAGAGCAGAGGAATTGCGACTCGCACCAGACGCCATTTCTGAGTCCCCATTGGGAATCGACAGACACACCAGGGAGACCACCAGCTCATCCAAACAGTACGACGAATCCCGAAGTAGCCCATCACATGATCACGACCCCCATCATCAACCCACGCGCAGCCTGTCGCCGGTGTGGTGAACCGGGGCATGCGGCATACGACTGCCATAATCCCTCCATCCTATTCTGCTGGGAATGTGGCAAACGCGGTACACGGACCGTAAATTGCTGCCGCCAAAACACGTCGGGAAACGACATGCGTCCCCAACTGACACGGGATCAGCCGGGAACGACGCCGACTCTCTACACGTAAGCAACGGCCGGATAGTGGCGATGGTGACCATAGGAGGGCACGCAACGGAAGCCACAATCGACACCGGGGCATCCAGAAGCTTTATCAGCGCAAACCTCGCACGAAAACTAAACAACAACACCAACCTGCAAGATGCATGCGTCCGCATACGCCTGGCCGATGGCTCGGTCAGAGAGATCTCACAAGTCCTACTGGCGCACATCAAGCTGGATCAACGAGAGGTTCAAATCCCGCTCCTGGTCCTGCCAAACATGTTGGGACAAGTTATTGTCGGCATGGACTTCCTAGGTGCCACCGAAACGACGATCCAATGCGGCTCCACGCTGCTACAGCTACGAGACCGTCGCCCCATGCTCACTGAACCCGTGCTTACTACCATCCACGTACAAGACGCCGAACCCCGATACCAGAAACTCCAACAAATCGCAACGCACCTACGTCCACGACCTACCACAACGCACACGGCACCCAATAAAGCAACGCAGCACTTGACACCCAAACCAATCGCAACGAATACGAAGCAACGGCACACTACGGAGAACACGAATCCAAGGTCAACACCAGCAAACCGCAATCAAGCAATCGGGAAAACGAGTCCCACGGTCACTATGGATCAACCGCGTCCTAGGCCAACCACAGGGGACACTTACCCCAAGCAAACCACGAGGATCTCACACACGAGACAAACACACTTGAACCCGGCGCTCGACACAGGAAGCCCAGGTCCAAGACAAGCAACAGAGCAAGCACGCAGAGAAACCACATCGGAAGCAGGGAACGCACGGACACCCTCAAAACCGACCGCCAGCAGCTAAAAAGGACAACGGCCACCACCATCCAACAGCCCAGCCACACGGGAAACAGCCACGCTAACCCCACGCTGGACGGGGCCCATAATCGAAGTGATCTCCACAGAGCCCCTCAACGCGGGCCCAGAAACCATGACGATACCCCCACGATGCACTGACCGCCGCCCTGTCGTACCCACGGCCGACTCCACACCGATCCTCGCCAACACAATGGAGTACCTTCCGCGTACCGACTCGACTGCTAGCGCCATGCACCGAGCCATGCCTAGAGCCAGATCCGAGATCTTCGCCGCCCGTACCAGCTGTTGGTCCAAAACAAGAGGCATCACCGAGACTCACCTGTTCATGCGCCAAACGACCGCCAATACCACCCAAGTATTGCATCAGAGATATGAAACATATCTACCCACGGCCAAAGACAATATAAGTATAAGATGCGTAACGCTCATACATTTCAATTGCCATATGCAAGACAATTTTGCGGCCAGCGACGAAATTCGCGCCATCTCGCTCGCACAAATTTGAGAGCGTACGAATCTAAAAATAGAATCCGCTTGCATGTGTGAGTACACACAGAACAGCAAGTGCGTATGTGTGCGTACTTGTGCTAAGCGGACGATTTTCGAGACGGAAACCTTTTTATGAGTTGAGAAACGAAATTTTATACCGGCGTTGAGTACGTCGCATCCTGAATACCCTAATGGCAATTCATAGAATTTTATGTATTAAATATATTATGTATTTTTATATATGTATATCCGATCATTATTATCGAATATACCATCTTAAAATAAATTATCGTTGGATGGATATATACAATATAACAGTTTTTTAATATTGGGGTGGTAAGCGTCTTGCAAAATTAACTTACACTTATAAAGTGAAGGGTATATTTCGACAGCGCTGTAAAAAACGTATGCATGTGCACACATACAGTCGTCGCGACGACTCGGCTCGGCTGTCGCATCGGCAAAGAACCAACTTCGTGTGCCTTCGTATGCTGTATGCATAAAAGAGAGCGGCTGGCTCTAGAGCGCTCTCTCTCTCTAAAAAATTTCAAGAGAGCCTGGAGCCAGCTCTAGAGCCAGCCCCGAAAATTCGTGTGCAGAAATTTCGTATGGCGTTACGCATCTTATACTTATATTGTCTTTGCCACGGCCAACGCCACACCCATCGTCGCCCACATAAGGGACTACCAACGGAGGATCGAAACGCCCAGTGCCTTCGACACAACCCTCTTACCCGAAGACCCCAGCCACCCATTTGACTCCGAAGCCGCCGATCCAACCGAACATGAGCCCGAACCAGT